TTGCTGCTGCAGCGCAGTGTCTACGCACCTCCTGTGCCTCCTCATCTCGCGTTGCTTCCTTCTGCTGCGAATCTGCTGCCACCAAATCCAAACCAGCAGCTTCTGCTGCTGCTGCAGCTTCTGCTGCTGCTGCAGCTTCTGCTGCTGCTTCTGCTTCTGCCGCTGCTGCAGCTTCTGCTGCTGCAGCGGGAGATGATGCAGCAGCAGGAGATGATGCAGCAGTAGGAGATGATGCAGCAGCAGGAGCTGCAGCAGGAGCTGCAGCAGGAGCTGCAGCAGGTGCAGCAGGAGCAGCAGCTGCAGCAGCAGGTGCCTCTATGGGGGTCCCCAGGGGCCCCTGGGGGCCCCCAGCGGGTTCAGCATTATCTGAAAATCGCTCCCAAGGAGAAATAGCTGCGGGGCTTTGAGCTGTTTCCTCCTCTGCTGCTGCTGCTGCTGCTGTTATTGCTGCTGTTGCTGCTGCTGTTGCTGCTGTTGCTGCTGCTGCTGCTGCGGGCTCCAAAGGACCCCCGAGAGGGGAGAGCCCCCAAACAGCAGCACGAGGTGATGGAGCTGCTGCTGCTGCTATCGAAGCAACACTATCCTGCTGCTGCTGCTGCTGCTGCTGCTGCTCTTCCTCCTCCTGTTGCTGCTTCTCCTGCTCCTCCTCTTGCTGTTGCTGCTGCTGCTGCTGCTGCTGTTCAGAAGTTGCTGCAGAAGGTTGCTGCAGCGGGCTGGAAGCAGCAGCAGGCGAACTGTCATTGCTCGCATCTTGCTGCTGGAACCCACCCCACTTCTCTATGGTTTGCTGCTGCTGCTGCTGCTGCTGCTGCTGCTGCTGCTGCTGCTGCTGCTGCTGATATTGCTGCTGCTGCTGCTGCTCTTGCTGCTGCTGAGGGGGCTGCAGTTCATCTGCTGCTGCAGCAGATTGCTGCGCGTTTCCTATGGGCTCTTCTTCTAGCTGTTGCAGTTTGAAGAGCCGCTGCTGCAGCTGCTGCTGCAGCAGCTGCTGCTGTTGCTGCTGCTGCTGCTGCTGTGTCTCGTGCAGTTCTGAAGCAGCAGCGCTTCGTGCTTCTGCCTCAGAGGAACCCAGAGAAGGGGGCGGGGGTACAGGGCACTGCTGCTGCTGCTGCTGCTGCAGCAGCAGCTGCTGCTGCTGCTGCTGCGGTGGAGAGCTCCAGTCGCCCCAGCCATCAAACTGATCCAACTGCTGCTGCTGCTGCTGCTGTTGCTGCTGCTGCTGCTGCTGCTGTTCATGCTGCTGATTTGGCTGCTGCTGCTCGCTATGATCTCCGGAAAGGCCTTCCGCCTCCCATGCAGCGAGGGCGCTCCGCTGCTGCTGCTGCTGCTGCGGTTGCTGCTGCTGCTGCTGCTGCTGCTGCTGCTGCTGCTGCAAGTCCCTGTCTGTCTGTTCAAGGTGAGATGCAGGGTAGTTATCTGCTGCTTGTGCCTCTCCGTTGAGGGCCCCAGGGGGCCCCCTAGAAGAGGAAGCATCAGCCCAGAGCGCCTCTGGGTCTGCCCAAGGGGGCCCCCTGCTGCTGAGCTGCTTTTGCTGCGGTGTCTGTGCTGCTGCAGCAGCAGCAGCTGCTGCAGCTGCAGGAGAAAGAGGAGATGCAGCAGCAGCATCGGGAGAAGAAAGCCAAGGGCCACCCGAGAGAGCAGCTGCTGCAGCAGGAGCAGCAGCAGCTCCGCTTGAGAAGGGGGAGGCTGCTGGGGCCCCCCCATACACAGGGGCCCCCCCATTGGCTCGGCCAGCAGCAGCAGCAGAGAAGGGGGCGGGGGGCGCAGAAGGCTGACGGAGTGTTTCCTTCGTATCGAAGGAGAGGAGAGTTTCTAGAGGAGAGGGCCCCCCCGGCCTGTCACGCGCAGGTGAAGGCGATGCTGTGACCGCAGCAGCTGCAGCAGCAGCAGCAGCTGCTGCTGCTGCTGCAGCAGCAGAACCCCCCGGGGCCTCATTGAACGCTGCGCGAGGAGCCGAGGAGGCGCCGTTGACAGCCTGAGACGCCCACATGGCCGCTGTGGCGCCTGAGGCGATGGCGGCTTTCGCTGGAGACTTGAATTGCTGCTGTGTCAGGAGGCGGGGGGGGAGAAAGCAGCAGAAAAAGGGGGCGGCCTCTTCGTCTCAAGGAGGAAGAAGAGGCAAAAAGAAATATAAAGGACAGAAGGACAATAAAAATGAAGAGAATTCCACAAAGAGCAAAGAAAAACCGTCAACGGAAGCTGCCTGTACACCCGAGCGAGCCGCGAGGAGATGCGGCCGCCTCAAGAGTAGAAACCTTTCTTTTTCATGAAGAATATTCAAGAATTTTAACTTTTTATTCATAAATTCAAAAATAAAATACAATATATTTACTATTAAAGAAAAGTTTGAGAAAAAATGAATTTAATTTAGTACAGGATCCACCTGTTCTGCTGCTGCAGCTGCAGGCTAAGAAACTTCATTCAGTTTCTGCATGAGTTCGTGAGATATCTGTAGCTGCTATGGAGGAATTTTCTTTAATTTAAAAAATAATTATTAAATAATTATTATTTATTTCTTCTTTTTTTCTTTTTTTTCTCTCTTACGAGCTCTAAAAACCCTAGACACTCAGAAAAAGTAGCAACAGCTGGGGCCTCAGAAAGCTGCAAAGAAATTCATGAATATGAATTGTTTATGAATTTGTTTTTTTTTCTTGTTTTATATTTGTGAATCAAAGAAAAATTATTTTATATAAAAAAATTAATTTATATATATTAATAAATTAAATATATTGTTTTTATATTTAATTTATTAGTAAAGTTGCTGCTGTGTTGTTTTCTTTGGCCTCATGCTTCCACTGTAACTACTCAATACAACATTTATATTAATAAAACTTTTTTTTTTGTTGTCTTTATAAATAAATGCATTAGATATATAATATATATATCTAATATATATTTTATATATTTTATATACTTTATATATTTTATATATTTTATATATTCTATATATTATATATATTTTATACATTTCTCTCTTCTCTTCTCCGCTTCTAGTAGATAAATAAATGTATATAAATGTATATTTTAATATTATAAAATAAAATATTTTAAATAAAAAAAGAAATAAAAAAACAAAAAAAA